ACCTCAACCTAAACCCAACTCAAAGCAATTCATACCCAAAACCGATCTGGCCCAATTAGATAAAGAGGGCACACCCAACCCAACCCAACCCACCCCGTCTCATATTCAATATTGAGATGTCAACAGGTTGGATACTTGGATCCAGCATGGCATGACATCAATCTGAACCCAATCCTAACCCGATAGGGTTGGGCCGGTGTGGATTTGCCACTAAACCCAACCAATTGACATCCCTAATATCCAAGCTGCATGCTGTATTCAGCCAATGGATAAACTAGTAGATCCCACTGCTGCAAATGTATATAGTAGCATACTACCTACTTCAATAGGACAGTCAGTCCTTTCTAGTGCCTGCTTGAATCAAGTGCTGGATTCAAGCTTGGGGGCTTCGGAGGCTGAACTGAAAGCAAGTTTCTTTTATTATTTTATTGAAATATCACGTTTTCTTTTGGATTGAACCCTAATATTAATAAAAATAATAAAATTTAAAAAATAAATTATTTTTTTAAAATTAATATTAAAAAAAGAGCAAAATTACTGTTTATCTTTTTCTTCTTGTAGCTTATTGTCGCCCGCTGCCGCCTTTGGCACTCCTCCACTCACCTCCGGCAACGCCACCGTAGGGCAGAAGTGGCGGTATTGGGCAGAGGCGCAAGCGAGAGGTGGACGGAGGTGCAAAACGTTGAAAACTCACTACTCTTCCGCCTCCGCCCACGACGAAAGGAAGCTGAGGGGCACAACCAAATGCAAGGAACGCTGCCAATGTCACAACCCCGTTCTGCCATGCCTTTTCCTCATTGTCCAGTGATTGCATTCCTTTTTGGGTTGTCATCTTCTCGTCGATCAATATATCTTTGTACTTGGAAAACACGTTCACCACCTTGCAAAACAATATTATTTAAAACCCAACAAAATCAATTAATGGAATAACCAAATTAAAAGCTCTGGTTGTCGATCGATAGATTCCAGTAATTAACTCCATCAGAACCAGTGATGACTGGAGCTATCTGATTTAATTTTACTCACAGAGTCACAGTGGTGGCATCTTCGAGGCTCATCCCAAGTTGTTGATACTTCTGCATCAGTTCCATCTGCTGCTGCCGGCCATGGTTATTTACATCTCACTCTGTAACCAACCTCTCCTCTTCAATAGCGTCCTTCTTGGTGCCAATCGATATAATCTGCGAATCCCATCGATATCCCGTTGGCCACCAAATTTGCAAACCCCAACACTAACAATGTCAACTGCACAACAAATTGAAGTACAAAAGAAAGATTTTCAGACCAATAAATTAAAAAGTAAAAAAAAAAAAGAAGAAGAAGACGCTTTTCAATAACAGCACGTTGACGACGTTGGGTACGTTGTATTCTACTAAGACGACTATGTGGGTGTACTGGAAGAGTAGCGAAGGGAGGCGTTGGGCAGAGGCGGAGGTGGGCGGAGGTGACAGTGTTAGGTGGAAGAGGAGAGGTGGGCGGAGGCAGAGGCGGTTAAGGGCATTCTCATGAATAAGAAGAAGATGAATAATAACTTTGTCCATTTTTTATATTATTTTAAAAAAATTATTTTATTTTTAAAATTTTATTAAATTTATTTCTTTATTARGGCCCAAAAGTTACACCTTCGCGGGATCGCGACCCTTTGTCCCGAGCATTGTAGCACGTGTATCGCCCAAGGCATGAGAGGCTTGACGTCATCCTCACCTTCCTCCGATTTATCACCGGCAGTCTATTCAGGGTCAATTATAAATTCTCGTGATTTGCATATCAAAGGGTCAATTATAAATTGAAAAAATTGGATTATGAAATCGCGAAGCATAATTTCTTTTTTGAGTTGGATCAACATTTCCAATTGAATGAGTATGAATAAAGGATCCATGGATAAAGATACAAAAGTATATATACAAACCCTTTTTTCTTTTGCTTCTCTACCTTTTCCTTAATTTTCCTTTCTGTTCTTTCAACCCAAACACAGCCTAAGGACATAGGTTCATAGCTTAGTTTGGCAAATCCTCCGAGATGATTAAAAAACAGGGTAAGAAAATACATATTAATTTTTATCTAATAGTAAGAATATAATCCATAAGAAATTGAGAAATAAATTTATCTTCAAGGGTGCATGTTGGATTGGGTTAGGTCACGTTGAGGCCAAACCTTAACCTAAACCAAGCAGCTGAACCTCCAACCCTACAACTTCCGGGTGGGTTGGGGATTGGGATCAAGTTGGCATCGGGTTGCACCAACTCCTCTACTTCAGCTTGCCAAATGATCTGATTCCTTTGATTCAAGGCTTCAATTTAATTCAATTTTGACATTAGTAGGTGTAAAAGAATGTCTTGTTTTAGAAATTTATTTTTAAACTTAAAATTTTTTACATATATACATACATACATAATTAATTGGGTGGATAGGGTTTGGGTTGAACTTCAACCTAACCCCACTTAACCTACCTGTTTAAAAGAAATTAAATAGACTGAGTTCAATTCAAACCTGTCTTGGCCCAACCCAACCCATTAGGTTCAGGCCCATTAATCCTAAATATACATAAATTACATAAAAATATAAAATATATTGCAGAAAATACAGAATTATAAAAACACAAAAAAAAAGAAAAAGATAACAAAAATTACAGGAAAACATTATAAAATTATAAATAAAAAACAACAGGAAAAACACAAAAAATATATAAAACACAGGAAATGAAAAAACAAGTAACAGAAATTAGAGAAAGGTATAACAAAAATGAAAATATAACAAAGATGATAAAAATCGAAAATGAAAAAAAAAAAAGGAAACTACAACTATTAACAGGTGGGTTTTTTCAACGTAACTGCAACTATACACACGCCATGGGTGACTTTCAAAGCTCCTCCTCCGATGCCAATGTTTTTCCTAATGAATTTTATCTTATTCTTCAACAAAAAAAAAAACAAATCTTAATGGCCCCTTAGCAAATAAGGTGCCAAATGTGCCAACCTGGTAACCATCACCTAACTTGGTAAAAATTTACTAAGATGGAGTAAAAATGACAATTTATAATGTAAAGACATCCAAAAGCCTTTGGAAACAAACAATATCTTTTGACAATAAAATAATACCTTGGTTTGTAATATCGGACTGTGATGGAGGTTCTTTGGAGAAAAGATTATCAGATTTTGCCATTCAGTTCTAGGGGTATTAGTATGGGACCAGTGGGATGATTGTGGGGCTCTTGGGTTTATTTCCTCTTTGGGTGATGCTTTATCTCCTTCCTAARGTATTATTTTTTCAAATGAATTTTATCTTATTTTTCAAAAAAAAAAAAGATATCTCATTGACAGAGATGGGGCCAAATGTGCCAACCAGGTAAACATCATCTAACTTGGTAAAACTTTACCAGGATGGAATTAAAATAACAATTTTAAATATAAAAGCATGCAAAATCCATAGAAAAAAAAAGCAATATCATTTGAAAATAAAGGAATATCTTGGTTTGTTTTTTGGACTATGACAGAGGTTGTTTGGAGAAGAGATACAACTTTATTAACTCCAAAATCTGTATTAGCTATAGACAATCATTGTTATGCATGGTCCTATTTATCTGATCCCATATGAATCTAAGCACAATGAGGAATTTTTGCAAGCATATAATTGCTGCTTACCAGATTTTGGTGGATGATTCAATTTGGTTGACCATCAATTTGAGAAGATTTTGTGTAATTCTAGGTTTGTTGTGTCCTCCAAGTTGATGGTTCTAAAAGTAGCTTGACTTTTAAGGGATCAACCTCCATTTACTAGCATGAACCCTTAAAATTCTTTGGGTCTTCCAGGTTTGTTGTGTCCTCCAGGTTGGGGGAAAAATTGTTTTGGAGGAAAACAGAACCGGTCAAGTGACCAATTCCTAGTTTATCCAGTCTGATTGTCCGATTCGATTTGGTTTTGAAAACAGTGGTTCAAAATGAATCATTCTTGTAGTTGTTTAATTCGATCAGTTAGATTGATTTTTGGTGTAAATTAAAATTCTTCAATGTATAGAATTATAGATTATAAACTGAACACTTTTGGATCAGTGTAAATAGAACCATCAATGATGCTTTACCATCTAAAGGTTTCAAAAATAGTTGAACTAGGACAAAATTCAAGGAATATAGTTCAATAAGTAAATAGAAAAAATTATCCAAAACTTCTTACGCAACAAATTAACATCACAACCACTATAAATGGAGCTCAATTCTACAATTGCATATATGATTTCTGTTCTAACCTCAAGTGGGTGAATTCAATGAATGTAAATAAATTTCTATTAAAAAATACTTTAAGATAAAAAAAAATACCCTATGTGAAACCCCACCTTTCTCTTCTTGAATTTGACAAAATGGGCATTATCACTGTGAATATAACTGCCTTCTTCTCCCTTTCTCTTTAATGCACAGCTTGTTAGGAAAGTTGAAAAATACTTCTCTCTCTCTCTATCTCTATCTCTATCTCTCTCTCTCATGAAAAGTAAAGTAAGATTCCAACAAAATCTTTCTTTGTAATAATGCTATTTGGATTTTTGTAATTAAAAGAAATTTTAAATAAATATTTTTTAATCTATAAGTTACTCTTACTGCTAAAATTACTATAGCTTAAAAACTATGTATATACATATTTATATATTCTTAACTTTGCTGCCTAAAGTCATAATCTTGCTCCCACTTTCACTCCCATTCAGTGCTATGGTCATATAAAGATAGAGATACTGGGATTTTACCTAATAAAGAAAGTATGGAGAGGCATTCTTTATTGCTGGTTTATCCTTGTATTTATCGTTATTTAGGTTCCTAATGAGGAAAAGCACAAAACTGCATAAATTAATTATGTTAAAAAAAATTATGTACATTATAAGTAAATTCCTACTCAATAACATACAAGGATTTAGTGTTCACAAAACTAATTAATAAAAGTTTTTATTTTATTATTTTATAGGAAGGCTTACAAAAACTAGATAGTCTCCATATCTAAAATTTGTCCAGTTAGGGAGTGATTTATTTTTTCAAGTAGATGTGTATCAAGTATATAGGTTATTTATGCAATAAAAACTAGAACAATATATCAACTTTCAAATGACATGAGCTAACAAAGAAGAGATATGAAAGAGTAGGCTCAAACATATAGAGTGACAGGACCATGCATTCAAAATGAGGCCTTGGAAATCAAATCAAGTAAACCCTCAATTTACTTGCATGAACCCACTATAGATAACATCCAAGAATATGCAAGCTTTGAGTGACAGGTGATTCTAGGTTTAATTTATACTATAGATTATGCTGCTTGTAGATACTTGGTAACAGTTTTATGCTATCCAAATACCCGTGTTATCAAATTGATGATGGTATTGAATATGCTATTGCTCAGCTAAAATTAAATTTTAAGGGATCAACCCAAAAGTTGGTGCAAGTTTCTCACCTGGTGGCACAATAGGCATGTTTCTGAAAAAGATCAAAATCATAGGTACAAGAGGGTTCTAAAAGCAACTTGACTCTCCCAAATGAATGAACTTCTGAATTGACATCTCACACATTTCAATCTAGCATTATATTACTCAGATCTGGTTTGCTCTTTATCAATGTTTTGCCACATCACCAAATCTTGAAACAGGTCAASCCCACAACCACTACTGCAAGATAAAACTGGTGTTTTCACTGTTAATTCCAAGTTCTATTTTTGGCACAACTTGCAAAATATTGCACCACTACTTACAAAAAATATAATTACTACACAAAAATTTCTAAGTGTAAGACATGTACAGTACCAAAAGACAAGACAAAAACTTGTACCTGTGCTTATAATACTTGGAAATGCATCCAATTAATCAATTGCAGCTCGACAAGTGCGTCAGTAGTGACCACTTTCTCCACACCGACTACAATGGATTTCCCTTATTTCAATTGGTTGTGATTCAATTCATTTAGTCCTACGTCGACCAGGTTGACGTTTTTGCTTTGGTGGCAACAAGTTCACAACATTATGATTAATACAACTGCTCATAAAAGAAACTGACTCATTACTGAAATCGGGCATATCTGAATTAGGCATCGCATGTATGTGCTCGAAGTAAATTGCCTGTTGAATTTCTTTCAAATAGCGCTCTTCAACAAAATCATAAATGTTTAGGCCAAATAGACCAATGGCACGACATCGTGCACACATGGTAATCCAACAATTTTCCATGCCTTAAATGAACAATTTCTAGAAATCAGGTGCACAATTTCTTGTTTTCCCTTACAGCGAATTTGAAATTCATCATCCCCACATTGTGTGTACCCTAAATTTATGGACTCTGATATGTTAAACTTAAGAAAATCCTCTATATTAGGGCTCACTGGTGTTTATATCCCTTAGTTTCACATTGCCTTCTTAATGTCAACTCTATCATTTTCAAGCAAATTATGTTGAGTAAAGACATGATAGATTGTTCTCGTGCCTCTAACACCCATGCATTAAATGACTT